ATAGACCAGATATTCACACTTTGTCAGGTCCTAGAATATAAACACATATTTTGTCATCCGACGATAGTTGCATTCCATGACTTGAAGGCGGCATTCGTGAGGTTCTACAACACTGTCTTTCATTGAAAGAAGCACCAAAGAAGTTCATAAGCTTTATACAGACTCTATACTCAAACACTCGCTGTTAAGTTAGAGCTTATGGCGAAATGTTATCGGAATTAATTAACTCGGGTGATGTCCGTCAGAGTTGTCCACTTTTTCCATTCTTATTTAACTTTGTCATTGTTATGCTTTCAGAGACGATACGTTCATCCTCTGACTTCTCAGGATTTGACCATATAGGAGGAAAATCGCTTGTTGAATTAAAGCATGTCGATGACACGGTTCTGTTTGGTGAAAATTCTGACAAAATGTGGAGTCCTCTTACCACCTTGAAGAAAAATACAATCATGATCGGTATGCGATTCTCCCTACTTCAGAATTGGCTTTCATTGACAGCTGTAGTAGTTGAGTGTGTTAACCGCTTCACTTATCTTGAGTCTCAACAATGCTTATGACTTGGTGTCTGACAAAATCCCAACACGGAAACAGAAGTCTTGACTTGCCTTCGACAACCTGAGTCACTTTTGGCGTAGGCGGGCTATTCGTCTAGCAACCAAAAGACGAGTTTACTGCGCATCAATTCGCTCCATCCTACTCTCTGAGTGCAGAACACACTGCCACCAAGAATAGAGGATATTCATAAAATATTAGCATTCGATTATAGGTGTCTTCTAAGCATTGCTCGAATATATTGGTAACATGGATGCTGATGTTAAGAAAGGGTTATTAGATAAGGAGCACGGATCAGCTGATGAAGTAGTAAATCTACATCAGTCGAGTTGTTTAGGACAAGTGTTAAGTGTACCTAACCACTACTGCCTCGAAGGGTGATGTTTTCTGATATTGGAGAAGGCTGGAATAAAGCTAAGGAGGCAGGCAAATGAAAATATGGCACAATTGCATGAAGTCACTGACAACTTGACTGAGCCACGTTAGCAGGTGTAGACTACCTGGTTGGTGTCCGCGAGACACTAGTAACCGATAGTTAGAGGCTGAATGACATGGCTCAAAATCGTTTGTAATAGCACAGATGCTTCCATCATTTGTCTTCTAGCAAATTCTAACCTAAACTCCTCACAAACTTCTTTCTCTTTTTTAACTTTACCTCACTGGATTGTACTTTAAGAATTATAATTTCGAAACCTAATCTGCTCGATTACTGTTAATACCTCTCATACTATGAGATTTGAATTGACAATTGCATCTCTGTGCTAATATGGTATGGCAACTTCAACTAATGTACTTACGTACGAAGTCCTAGATTGCAGCAGACTGACTAACTATAAACCTTAGTCAGCGTAATTGATATTGTCGAAAACAGAACTATGTTGTTCACAAACACACATGAATCAGCTTTCTCATGATTACTTTATCAACCGAAAACTAGAGAAGATTTATTACATGTTTATTGAGGGCATGGAATACCACTGGAGTTACTGAAAACAACCTCTCTGGCAACTTCATAGCTCGTAACGAGTAACTAACAATTAGAAATGTTTATTTCTATCATTTTTTGTATATTCATTTGAAACAACTATGTAATACAGTCAAATCCATCAACCAATGTAGGTGTTTGCAGAGAATACTAAGACGAAAGAAATTACTTACGTAACCGAACTATTTATTATTTACAGTTAACTAACAGGTTAATTGTTCATAAGCGTCAACTATGTGGTTTTTATGAACGTTTAGACACTATTATGATGTGTCAAAATACTAAGAGAAGCAAGGAGATGGGTTAATTTATTTTTGGTTTTAAACCATAATTTGCTAATGACAGATA